AACAGGACCCCCGTTGATACCAGTGTTTACTACACTGAAGGGGCTATCCTGTATAAATATAGATGTCTGTCTGTCTGTCTGTCATGGAGAGATCAAACAAGAGGATGCCCACAGGGTTCGTCCTTTAGACTTCTATTATGGAACTTGTTTCAGAACGACCTTCCGTCACACACAGGAACAGAGAATCTCTTCATGTATGCAGACGACCACCAAATATACAACAGTGGGGACTCGGTCCAGATAGCTTTACAAAAACTCAAGAGCGAAACGGAAAAAGTGACACAGTGGTACACAGAGAACCTTCTCAGAGCGAACTCCAGAAGATACCAGATACTCGTCATCGATCCAAAATCCTCAGCAAAAGAGCCAGCATAGGAAATAGCGCTAGAAAATGAAAAACAAGTTGTAGTAACATCTTCAGATCGTCTATCAATTCTCGGAGTGACCACTAATAAAAATCTATCATTCAGCGAGCACATAAGTGCCATCTGTAAGAAAACAAGCCAGAAAGTTGGAGTGCTAACGAGGCTACGCAACCTTACACCCTACTCAGCCAAACTTCAACTCTATAAATCTGCCATTTTACCGCATCTGACGTACTGCGACACTGTGTGGCATTTCTGCAAAACGGCCGATAGACATAAGCTTGAGCGTATTCAAGAACGAGCACTGAGAGGAATTTTCAAATCTAAGGTGGACACGTATAGTACTTTACTAAACAGAGCCTCTCTATCAACACTATATGAAAGGAGATTACAGACCATAGCTACACTCGTGTTTAAAGTTAAAAACGGAGTAATGCCACTGTATATTACAGAAATATTTCAGTCTACCTATAAAGGCTATGAGCTTAGAAACGCTGATTTTAATATCCCGCGGGTTAGAACGTCCCGTTACGGCAAACACTCACTTCGTTACTTCGAACCGTACTTACAGAGGAAGTTAAGCGTCAGTGATTGGGAGAAAACAAACGATTTTAAACAAAGCATAAAGAAACGAAACCTGACCGAATTGTTAAAAGACACCTGCGTGGACTGTGAAATCCGCTCATAAAATAGGTTTTACCATATGGCAATTTTTTTAGCCATCTAGCATCTTTCTTTCGAACCGAGTTCAAATTGTACCCACACTGCTCGTTTGTTGTACGATTCTTCATCACTCAGGTTGCTCAAATATATATCATTACCTTCATTTCATTGCAATCTCTATTTTCTTTTATAATTATTGACATACATTAGAGTGTATTGTACCTCGAATTTGACATGTTGTTTGGAAATACGCACTAACTACTGCACTGACGATAAATTATTACCGTCAGAAAACTCAGGGATGACAAACCGAAGCAAAAGGAGGCAAGATCAGCAAGAAAAGCAAGTGAAAAGGATACAAGATTCTTTCCGCAGCACCGTCAATTCATCTCTACTGAAGCCAACAACTTCATAAAATACGTAGAATTCGTTTGATAGTTACTTTACCCAATAGATTTCATTTTTCTTGCATGTTCAGGTCGGGTTCCGTGATGAACAAGTCTGTGAGACGGAGCAGCAAGTTAATTGTTTACAACACCTTATACCTTTGCTCTAGAGCGGTGGCTTTATGAATGAATATGATTTTAACGGTCAATGAAAAATAAGTTCTTAACGTATGACTAGTTTAACCCTGATTGTGGATATTATTTGTTATTTAGAATCTAACAAAAGAGAATTCAAAGATAAAACTCCAACCGCGGTATGTCCACAGGCAGACCACACTACGTTTTCGTGGTTATTACTTATTGTTGACTTGAGACGATCAAAATCTGTGAAGGTTACGAGCGAAGCTTTAAGAATTGCATAACTAGACTACATTACGTGATACTTTCGTAAATCCTTTTATCAGTTTCGCATGTGGTGAAATAATGTTATGAACTTTTTTTTTAACAGCTCCGACCCGTGTTCAAGAAGTTTGTCAGTTGTGGCAATACTCTATTACACTAGACAGCGTGTCTAGAAAATTAGACATGACTTAATTTTCTCTGGGAAACACGATCGAATGCTAAGCTGAACATTTCAGACTGTACCGGAAAAAAATGAAAGTAAGTCACAAATCGATCACCATACTCGAAGTCATGAACTGCCTGCGACCAACTCAATCTTCGGCTACTCAATACCTCGGCACTTCGGCTACTCGGCTCACTCCGTTCCACGCCTCTGACCGCGCCGTTTTTTAATTTATTAACACACTCGGACCCAGTCTCCTCGGGTATCCCGTTGCAGACGTGGTACACTTCTTATACGCATGGCCGGGTAAGAGATAAGTCCCCGTGTTTCAAAATGTTCCGCCGCCTCTGTGTTTGGTAAACCGTTTGAGGCACACTGAGCAGGCAGTTTTTACCGATGACCATCATGTAGAGAACAAACCTCACTGCATTGTTATGTAACTCAGGAACACGCAAATGCGGTTGTTAAGAGAAAAAGAGATCGAAGGAAAGAACAAGAAGCAAGGAAAGAAAAAGAATTTTTTTGCACCCTCCACCGTCAAAACCTTTTATTTGCTTCAAGTGCAAAGTAATTTATACGTATAATCCAGGTGTGCTAAATATCCACAAATTAAAGATGCTTGTTTCATTTGAATTGTCTTCCTGTACCTTGCATGCATACAACTTTCCATTCGAGAACATTATGCCGCGGATAAATAATAACCAGTCCCCGTATAGAATCAATTATAAAAGACTGCAACTCCATGTTTTCAGTTAATCACATTTTGCCATTGTCATATATTTATCAACCGCATTTTTTGTTTCAACTGATAAAAATGGAGAGAAAAATAAAGAATTAAAAGAAGAGAACATAAAGCTCGAAGAGAAAATTGACAAAATTGAAAGAGGCATGCAGACAACCGGTCCGGAGATAACCGATATGTGATGGTAAAATGCGCATGTGTGGCACTCCATGACTTTATGTAACCAGGTTACCATGACCCGTCCTTTTGATAAGTTTAAGTGCTTTTACATTTGCATTACGACATGGCAACACAAAGCCTGTGTGATGTTCTTAACTTAACTTGTCAACGCAATTATTTTTACACAACCCATCAATACAACTCACAACTTTCTTCATGCTATTTGTAATAAGCTTTCTTTCCGAGGTGCATGTGTTAATAGGAGGCCAAGATACTATACGCCTTGGGTCAAAAGAGTATCTCGCCTGCTACTCGAAATTGGGGTCGGCAACCCAGTTTGCGGTGAAGCTGGTAGAAAGTGTTTGTGTGTGGAGACCATGAAGGAGTCAACCCTCACTGGCACCAGATGTTTGAACGACATCAGAGATCGATGCAAAAGACTAAGATACCAGGAAAAAGAAAGGGGAGAAGTTACAGAAATAGAAGGGTCCAAGTAAAGTTGTGGTATCATTTCTTAAACTCAGTATTTGATACATTTTCTAGTTTTTTTACTTTTTTCTTAAACAAATGTGTAAGCAATTTTTTCCCCTTAGTTCTTTCATTCGTCTAAAAGAATCCGATTTGTAGGATTAGAACTTTTTCATATATATATATATATATATATATATATATAAAAGAAAAAGAAAGAGGACTTTCGTTTTTCATTTATTTTAGTATATACATATATATATATATATATATATATATATAATAAGTTAAAAGGCCTCGAGCCAACAGTGACGACGCGCCAGAAGGATCCAAAAGGATTCACAGTCCAAACCTCTATAAATGGTAGGAGAAGTAGTGTGGCACACGAGGACGGACAACTTCGAGCGAAGGAAGACATATACTCAATAAAAAGTCTAAAAAGTTTAATAAAAAAAGTTTCGGTCCAAGACCTTTATCAGTTGTAATACAAGGACTTAAAATTTCCTTAAATAGATTTATATCAGGCCTGATGACACNAGTAAGGAAACAGATCTCAAGCAAAAAAGGTGACATGCAGTAAGGAAACAGATCTCAAGCAAAAAAGGTGACATGCAGTAAGGAAACAGATCTCAAGCAAAAAAGGTGACATGCAGTAAGGAAACAGATCTCAAGCAAAAAAGGTGACATGCAGTAAGGAAACAGATCTCAAGCAAAAAAGGTGACATGCAGTAAGGAAACAGATCTCAAGCAAAAAAGGTGACATGCAGTAAGGAAACAGATCTCAAGCAAAAAAGGTGACATGCAGTAAGGAAACAGATCTCAAGCAAGAAAGGTGACATGCAGTAGTAAGGAAACAGTCCACTGAGGAGCATCGTAATCAAACGGATTTTCAGAAAAATTTTCAAAACAAAAAACTATAAGTAAAGAAAAATTTAAATTCTGCTGATAACACCTTTAGTTACAGCAGTTAAAAGTCTTAAGAAATACATTTATTATTCAAATACCGCCCCAAGAAAAGAAAAACTTCCTAGTAAACAAATGCTACATAAGTCTTACATTAATACTGATATCGATAAGTAGAAGCTACTGTACATTTCCTCTGCTCAGTGTACGAGTCGTGAGTCGCTGATTATTCATTACGTTATCGCTTTTTAAAATTGGTCCTTGGGCTGAGTACAAATTTTCTGGAAGAAGCCCGTCCAACTCGGTCAGAGATGGATTACACTCCTACAACAGTCAGAGCAGCAGCACCAGAATCACAAAAGTAATTTCAAGGTCAATGCGGCAATTTCCGAAATGAATTTTCTTTCAAACGCTCAAGGTTGTTGTCATTTTTGCATTCATAAATGTAGTCTAATTTATCAAAGATAGTATCTGCGGCTTCCTAAGCCCCACCCTCCTGGTTTGACTGTGCTGCCATACTTTTCACAAGGTTCTCTGCTGTTTCCTGGGACTGCGCTGCCAGAATGCCAAATGTAAACAGAAGCACTTCTTTTAGCTCGTGGCGATATCGTCTGTCATCAGTTATGCTGTCCGTGTTAATTTCTTTCTTGATAAGCTGACAACTGACTGATAGAATACTGCGAAGAATTCTTGGAAAGTCTTGTGAAGAAAGCCATAAGGTCTAGT